TGAACTCTGAATTTAGGATACAAGCACACACATACACACACACACAAGCTATGCAAAGGCTCCAAATAGAAGAAAAAATGCTAAACTTCATGTGTAGTCAGAGAAATGCTATTTCTCAACTATCAGATTGGTAAAAAAAAAATATAAACCTTTGACAATACTCTTTGTTGGTGAGGCTATGGGGAAATAGACATTCTCCTACATTGCTGGTGAAAGCGTATGAAAGTGTAAAATGCTATAATTCCTATGGAAGACAATTCGGTAAAAGCTAACAAAATTGCATTTTGATGCAGGATTCCTAGCCCTGAAGCTACATCTCTAACAATATGAGAAAGTATGTACCTAAGGATATTCATTTCTTCCTTATTTACAATGACAAAGTAGTGTAAATCACTTACATGACCATATATATGAGACTGTTTGAACAAACTACATCGAAACAATGGAGTTTTGGAAGTTGTAAAAAGAAATGAGGAAAATCTCTGTGAAACAGGATGGGATATTTTCCAGGATGTATTGTTAAGTGCAAAAAGCAAGATATAAAAAAAAGTATAAAATGCTATCTTTTAAAGAAAAAAGGAAATAAGAATACTTGTGTATGTATGTGCACATCTGCTTACTGTTGCAAAAAGAAACATTCTCCATTGTCACGGAGTCAATTCTGTTTTATAGCCACCCTGTATGACAGAGTAGAACTAGCCGTAGGGTTTCCAAGGCTGTAATCTTCACGAAAGCAGACTGCCACATTTTTCTCCTGCAGAGCAGCTGGTGGGTTTGAACCACCGACTTTTTGGTTGGCAGCTGAGAGCTTTAACCAATGCACCACCAGGGCTCCTTTTAAAAAGAAACATAGGAAGGATAAATCCGAAACTAACAAAATTGCTTCCCTACAGGAGGTAGGTGGGAATTGAGTGGAGGGGGTAGGAATACTTTCAAAATATAATTTTGACTTTTGGATAATATTAATGTTTTGCATATTCAAACAATAAAATTACATCAATAAAGATGGAAACATGCTAAAATTAAATTCAAACAGAAACTAATGAAGCGAAATGTGTATCAAATTGATAATACAACTAAACAGCAGGGAATGTTAAAAAGAATTAATCCAAGCAACTTTTAAACATGGTATACTCTCAGTGAAATATATTCTAAGGACAAAAAGAACTGCAATGAAGTCTTGAACTTCTTTTAGTCAGTTTGTTTTTTTTGTAGTGATATTGATGTAGCAATTTCAAAACTGGTTTGTGTGCATTTTATAACTGAGTAAATGAATCTATATATTGATGTTCTTGGAATGAGGATTCTCACTGTGGGAGAAGGAAGACAAAATTACAGAAAGAACAGAGGAGAGAAAGAACCTTGTGGTATTAGATAGCAATATGAGCTCACATTTTAATAAAACTAAGTGTATGTATCTTGTCCATTGCAAGGACCTAGTGCAATGGCACCCGAGTAGTAAGGAGTAAAAGC